TTGAACTGGTAGATAGCCACGTACCTTCCGGATTCCGGATTCGTACGTCGATTGATTGACTACGTCTGTGATTCGTCACGTGGATGGTGAGTTGAGTTAGATGAGCGTCAACTGGGAAGCTATACGTTTTTGCGTATTCACCCCACGTGTCTTGCTGTAAAACGTGTACCTTTCGTGCTTCAACTGCGGCCTCGACAACTTGCATGAACTGCGTGCATAGGTTTGTGAGTATTTCATAGGGGGACACGTGGTGAGGGGAAGTTGGGAACAGAGAGAGAGCATTCATTGAATGAACAACAATGATAATATTCTGTTTGTTTCATTGAAATCTTTTCAAAAACGTGTTTTTTGTGCATTGTCTTGTGTGTGTATGCAAGCACCAAGGAATATAAGGTTTTAGTGAGTGAGACATCCAAACTGTATGGTACGTGCCAAAATTAAAGGAACAGTGAATATTCCCATCTGAACTCGTTTTTGCAAAACTTGCAAAATCCACTTTTGGGTTAGTGGAAAATAAAGGTATTATGAGTTAGTAAGCATGTCTAGTTAGCGTACTGTTTTAGTAAAGCTAAAATGCTACATAATCATGGGGCAGCCCCAACCAGGAATGAAATAAGATTTATTCTTTTCTGGCATATTACGGTGCTTTGCTGAGCTCTGTCAGATGATCGTTTCTGATCCGCTGTTTCTTTTGATCCTGTCGACGGGCATTTGACATCTCCATGTCTAGTCCGCTGCATATGACAAGCCAGTCTGTAACTTCCAATAGGTTTCACAAAACTGAAGAATAGAAAGCAGCTAGCTCTCATTAAATTCTACATTATTATGTGATTAGGTCCCGAATTGTTGCAATTCTTTAAAAGGTACACATCTATGCAAATTAATCGAAATGAAGAGGAATCAAGTGATATGATGTGCTTCCAGCGGAATAGCCAGTGACATTACTGTTTACGAAAATAACCTGGGTGTGCGACATCAGCAAAAACTTGGCAACGGTTATTTCGGCGATCCTCTTCATCGGGAGATAAAAGGATGACCCGGACAGCTTCCTTGAACCAACATAAGATAACACAGCGGTCAAAATGGATAAAAAACCATGTCTGTTGGACGCATCAGTGAAACAAAGCAATATTGGAGGATAAGAAAGTATTTAATCTCTTCGAATGGGATAATTTGCGTTCATACTGACATGATATTAGGGAAGAAGAAACTCAATTGCCAGGGAAGGTGACGACAAATGATTAACTGTGATATGAGTTGCATTTTTTTACAGCCAGTTATACTCATTTGATAAAGCTAAAGTTCAGTGACCGACACAAATGTTTCATTTTGGTTTTCATTACAATCAACATGAGTAGGATGGTATCTTTTCAATGTTTGATGAGCAAATCATGCATCACAAAAGTGGTCGATTGTTCGTGCAACCGACGTTTTTGGAGTAACCGACTTCCACTGCTGATCGTGATCCAATGTGAATCTCCTGGACTTGTTCTCCAGGCGAGTACATCGAAAGACCAAGTCATTCGGCGGTGGTGGCCAAATGGTTAGGTCACCAACTTATGACCCGGAAGTCCCGGGTTCGAGCCATTCCACCACCACTTGTCTACCCTATTTCTATATTTTCCCCAGGCAGCCTATATATGGCCGCAGCCACCTTCCTGAAAGTTGAATGTACATTTTTATATTTATTTATTAAAAAAGGAAGTTAAAAGACATTTTATTAACCCTTGGTGAAATACGTGCCGCATGGAATGCAGAGTGAGAAACTATTATCACAATGAGATATAGACTAACGGTATGCAGAAAAGGTTTTTTGAAGAATAAGAACAAATATGACTAACTACAGTCTAGGGGGGGGGGTAACGAATTTGTATTGGTAGTGCAACACCTCCAACAGTTTGTAACGTGTTTGATGCAGTTGCACGTTAGCATCAAGGTTTATCGTGGATGGTTGAGTAATGCGCATAGCAAATACACAGACACCACTTGGAATTGGACCTCTGACTCGTTACCCTCATTTTAGGAGTGTTATTGCTCAACCAATTCTTAGGGTTTCTTGTAATTTTGTCTGTCGTTGAGCGATTTGACCGTATTNATCACACCCTTAAATAATGACGAGACGTCAGGTCCAAATTTATTTCTTCGGTATTTTAACTTGAACCTTTAGGTTGTTACTGTGGAAATGAACGACTATCTTATCTTTAGCTGATCCATAGTGGATGTTCACGAGCTGCATTATTGATTACTCGTGTTGCGCTATCACAGGGGATGACTGCATTACGATCAACCCCCTATGTTCTATGAATCTCCTTCCTGTTGTTCCACTATACAATTGACAATGATGTCAGCGATATAGGTAACTATAAATATGTCCAATCGCGTTAAGTGGTTTACAATTAACCAAACTGCACTAACCTACAGTTAAAGTTAAAGATCCATCTTATTCCAGGCTGAAATTTTACTTAGTTTTGCAGTTAAGCTCCAGTGCTAAGGCAGGTATAGAGCATAAATTCGCTATTTCTGTCGGTCAACAGTCCTCAGGATCCGAGGCTCAATCCTCACAATCATCATCCTGCTTCGGATCTCAAGGCAAAGACCCATTGGTCTCAAACTTGTTCGATCATAAGGCATTCCCTTGTCCACTAACAATCTCCCACTTTGTCACCCTCGTTTTTAGCAATGCTGACTTAGTGAGTGAGACCGGTTTTCTTTTTAAAACGCTGTCCTGATACCAAACTGGTTAGCTATCATCAACAATACAGTCATCAGTTTAGTTGAGCACTGATGTTAGTGTGGGTTTCCATAAGGTTACCATTGAGAAACAAAACCTTCAAGAAAATTTCCCCGTGCAATGACAAACAAAGATTTAGGCACCATCAAGCTGCTTGAAAATTTGCTCTGATCTACCCGTTGCCAATCGCACGTGTGATTCTTCGTTTGCCATCCTGGTTTACTCTCAGTGAGAGAATCTGATCATTGAAATGTGAGCTTTATCAGTGTACACGTTTTCCAATCCAATGCTACTGATATTGAAAGTTGTGCCACTTCGTAGATAAAAACACCATCTTTGTTGTCCTTTAAATAAACATTGAAAGGTCACTCGAGCCATTGACGTTTAAAAATGCATTCACATGTGTACAAGTTGCAGTTGCTCTTTGAAGTTAACCATCACATTTATGTGACGATACACCAATACCCAACTATCAACAGTTCGCCTGATTCCGTTTGGATACATGCTCCGGTTAGAACCGGAAAAACAAAAACACTGACCTCTGTTGACCCGGTTCATCGCTTGAAACTGCGCACCAAACCGGTGTTTCCTTCGCCGGATTTTTGTCATTGGTACGGGGAAGGTTTTATTATTTTACAAATCGAATCTTCTGACAGCATACACATTGTGGTGTAATTGCGGTATTTTTCCCTTAAAGACCTGCATTATTTAACGGGAGTTCATGCGGCGGATCCCCGTTTTGAATGAGACATCTTTTTCCGTCCCTCGTTAGTCGCATGAACCTTCTGGACGGGGTGATATAGAACCATTCGATGCATCCTCGTTTCATTGTTTCTCACACAGTTTTCAATAAACTATGATCGATGATGTAATCTACAGTCAGTCAGGGTTTTTTTCCCCAAGAGTTATATACGAGCAATGGTTCATCCAACAGGTATAATATCCCTACATCGTTGTTGCTTATCTGTCAACTGTTTGTCTAAGTTTAATTCCACAATTTGCGTCCACAGAACATGATAAAGACCAAAAACAATCCGTGGTGAAAACCTCAAGTGTCCCGGTTCTCAGACTAAGTCTCAACACAGAGGTAGCTTGGCATGTTGCAACTAGCGTGGGGGAGTGGATGCGTACTGCAGTGTTTACTGCAAAACAGAAGCAAAATATCCTGAGTAAATTCCGTACTGTAATCTGATAAACCTTTTGATTAGCATGAAGATGCAGTGCAATACTGTTTCGTGCCAAACATCCACACGTTGATCCCGGTATCTTCAACAATGATTTCAGGATCTCAAAGGAAGCCCTTCAAATGACTGATAAACCATTCGGAAACCAAATTCTCCCGGGTTGAAAACCGGGTATCAGAACAAACGGGGAAGTTTACAGTCTACATTCTGTTTGCAACGTGTTGACCACACAATTAAACAAAGTACGCAATTGGAGATAGTTCATTGTGAAAACAGAATATGGGTGGTTTGAATTGGGCGTCTGGGAGAAACTGAGATAATAGAGTGCAGTTTTTTCATGAGGGAATGTAACCAACTTTAGTGAACAGAACGAATATGCCTATCTGATGAGAGAGGCGAGCGAGCAAGTCCATCAAATGATGAGATTCGTGTTATGATGAAAAAGGATTCCTACGAGTGTCTTTTTTCCCTTACACTGTGTTTTCATTCACCCGTTGCTAGCTGGTTTTTATTCGTTCCCTAAATGATGTGTATCAGATTTTGTGTGTGTGTGTGTGTGTGTACACAGACATTTAAACTGTACGTTTGACATTTTCACCACCGTCATTCGAGTAATGCGCACTGATTGATTTGTGGATGTGTGAAAAAGAAATAGAATAGGAAAAAACCGCGTTTACCTCATCTGTGGAGTGTTTGCGCAATGAGTGAGTGCGCGCGCGCGCGCGTTCATGCGCAACGGGCCAGATTCGCGATGATCGGCGATCTACCAATCGCGTGTAGCGTGGAACAGTTGTTGTTACCCTGCCCGTTAACAAAATAATTCTTTTTGACGATAATTGTATAAACCCCATGAAACTAATCGCAAGTATTAGTTGGAGAATACTTTTGTCTCGTTTTTCTAATGCAAAACAAGATGAAGCAATGTGATGCGTTGTTCTAGACGAAAGCGATCACACACCAATTGAACTCACCCTTACTTGAGTTGAACGAGGAGTCAAGAGAAATAGTTTTGTTTCTTCCATGCTCACGGCTGCGTAGCTGCGATGTCAGTGGAAGGTGCTATTATTCCCATAGTAATAGATGCATCCATCAACGGTAAATGGTCATCTAACGTGCTATCCATTCATCCAGGTTCAATAGCTCCAAGTTCCTCCCGCATATTTTCACTGATCGTTTCCATGCACTTAGTCTCTTACAATCGTTTAGCCCAGTATATATATATATATTCAACGGGGAATAATGCAATCGTGGTGTTTATTATTATTCAGAAATTGAATAATTTCGGGCTGTTATGACACCAGTTCTGCGGTCGGACTATGTGACTGGCATAGTTGAAAATGCGGGCATGTGTCCGGGACGAAATATCGAAGAGAAAATGTGGTAGAGGGGGGGGGATAAGGAGAGAATAGCGCTCCTTAAATAACCACAAAGTTTCTTACTTTCATGGCTGAAAATATTTTCACTAACCAGTTTACAAACCACACAAGCTTATAAAGTGACATAAACAAATAGACCACTGCATCATGTGTGCAGTACTGTTGTTTGTAAGGGAATTTAAATACCGTATTCAGAAAAGAAATATTTAGTTGATGGATTTGAGGGAACCAGGGTAAGAAAGAACTAGATCCTCTGGGATGAATTTGACTACATTTATTCCCATTCTTCGATATTTTCCGGACAGAGATAATTGGCATAAGTTATTGACATTCAAGAACTAAATCTGTCTGCGTAAAGAACCACAGATCTGATGAATAGTCAATGAAAGAAGCTCGGAACTGCTTTACGAAATTATTCCATTGCCTAACGTACCAAGGTGACGAGATCCACGTTATTTTGAGGTTCTTATTCCATCGAAACAAGAACCCTGTGTTTCAATTCCAGTTTTGTCACATTAACTGTGATGGAACTGTTCATGCAGTCCCCTCATTCACTTTTCTTTTCAGATTATGGGATACATGGCAAAACCTACCAATGAATCATTTACTCTCACTTGCTTTGAATTATCCTAATCCCAGAGCTTTTATCATTTTGTCAATGGTTCAGTAACTAATTTTACTCCGAAGTACTGGTAAACAGATTACGGCACCACCGGTTTGCCTGATTGACCTATTCCAAATGCAGTGTTTCTCTGCAAGGCATGATTGCTTAAAAGTGCAAAACTGATGGCTATTTTCAATTGTACTCTTAGCTGTGTGACCGCATGGGCGAAAAGTTCCAAAACATGTATTTGGAGAGATTGAATACTCACTTGCCAGTTATGGGAGTATATTAATCAAATCGCGGGACGTATTTTATCTAAAGTTCTGTGGTTGTTTACGTTCCATTATCGTTGAACTAGGTAGCGAAACCGATGCTAGTTGACCATCAACAAACTATAAGTTCCATTATTGCTTATTGATCAGATTATTTGCTATTTATTCATTGCAGGTAGAAGAAACCCTGTTTTTGAGAAAGCTATAGCAGGAAAGTATGACAAGATTTGCTACGTGGTTCTGTTTACAATCTAATGTTTATTATTAAATGTTTCCGCTGTTTTTCATGGCGTTCCGTTGTCACTCTTCTTGCCCGAGCAACACTCTTTGCTGTTTGCCCACGTAATTTACAGGATAAGCACTGAATCTCAATTCAAATTCTTCGAGCCCCTCCCCCTCCCGATAAGGACCCAAATCGTGGGCACACTTGACGATCATAAAGAAGGATGAAACAGCTATCTAGATCTGTTTGTCCATCGCAAGAAACTCGATTGTAGGAGAAATTTAATCAATGAGCAGGAACTACATATCATCCAAGTAGAACTGAGACCAATCGGAACGGACTGCGAGGTCAAGGGGCTTTGCTCGATCAAATAATAAACAGTGCGGTCAACATCCGTGGCAACAAACTCACCTCATTAACCTGACCTTTTCCAATAATATACAGTTGTCCGGAGCTCACAGTGGCTATTTGGCGATAAGCTTCGAATCCCGGTTCATCTGTCGAGTTGCAGAATCCAGTCAAAACAAACACGACCTGGAGGGGGAGGGAGGAATGTGACAGGTAGTTGAATTGTTTAGGGGACAAAAAAATCTCAGTGAATTGTAGTTCATTATAGTCCTTGTCCTTGGAGCAAGCAAACTGATTTTCGTAGAACGCATGTTGTTTGAAAATGACGAAGGTTTATTCATGCGGCTTGTCATGAGATGCCCTGTCTTTTACAGGATAAATAGCAACTTAACCATAGGAATCAAATTTCTAATGCTCGTAGTGGTCTAACTAGTCCCACTTCCGTAGATCTCAATTTCCAAACCAATGCATTCATTTTGATAGACTAGATTGTATTCAGGTTAAAAAAGACACGTTTCATTGACTTTGATACTTCTTTTCTCAGTGCGCGTATGTTTTATCGCAAGATTATTGTTGTGTCTGAAAAGATAGAAATTGATCAATTAAACTCGGCATACAACGTAAAACCCAGTTACTGGTAGATTTTAATCAATAACTATTTTCTGTAAAACCGATACAAGTGCTATCTATGGTCAATGAATATATTTTTCTACAGTTACTTTAGAAAAGCTTGTGTTGTTCCATTGTTTAAAGGAAGCAGACGGAATCAAAAGGGGATCTGAAAATTTTGAGAAAAATAAATTTATCCTACTAGCGCTGTGAAATCTTTACAGACAGGTGATAATTCCGAAGGCTTAAGGAGCGTTTTGCTGTGAAAATGTATTTTTCCTACAATTTACTGCAACTTAGCGGGCATCAAGAAAATAACTAAAATCATCTATATGATTATTCCAATCGTCGTTATTTTAGGTATCATCGTCATCATCTTCATCACCATCCAAATCATCCTCATCATCGCCATCATTATCCAAGGCTTCGTTGTGCTCATTACTTATGTCTATTTCCAATGATGATAGTAGCAATAATAATAGTTCCAGTTTAAAATAATTATTGTTCTACTTTTATCAATTAAAATTGAACTTATTCGCTTTTTGATAATGTTTAAGAATGAACGAATGAAACGTTTGTGAACGTTTTTCTAAAATTTTGAAAATGGCTTAACGCATAACAAGTGCAAACACACCCAAACGGGTATGTTCTTGGACTATTTGAAATCAGACATTATACCTAAAGTATCATCATATCGGGAACGTTCTTGCAATGACACAATGCATAAACGAAGAATGTGACACGGAAACGCTTGTCTTTGAACAGGTGTCTAACAGATTGTCAGTATCACACAGTCCCAGACGTCAAAGTGATTGGATACAACGGATGCTTGCGGAAAAACTTGTATCCAATCGCTTTAGTCGCGAACCAGTCATTTGTAAATATTTTGGCTACGACTCTCGTGGCACTTAGCATGCGGCTGAATTTGTAACATTCATGTGGTTTATCAACATCAGAGTCAGTGAAGAAATTTTAACTATATCCACAATGAAGCTGGCCCATTCAGTATTTGTCTTAATTGGAGGTAGTCTACGTGAGGCTTCACGAGAGAGGGCATTAACAAAATAACTGAACAAAATTTTGTCGGAACCACTCGACTAGTTTCGCGCCGATTACTGCTCATTTGATACTCCCACTCGGTAACCTCCTCCAATTCTTAGAATCTGAACCTTCAGTGCACATTTTCTTCTAACATCCTTCCAATTTGCTCGGCGATGCATAGTTTTGAGGACAAAACTTTACTCCTTACTTGTGAATCAATGCTATGGCTGAGCAGAAGCTTTGTGATTTAAATGCCACCAGCTGCAACACTGAGAGACATGACTGAACGCCAGTATATGAATATTATGAAACGAAATAACATGTAATATATATGTAAAAAATAAAGATAAATAGCTTCCATCTCATCGTTAACAGGTTGCAATTCCTCATCTTATGTTTATATACTGTTCATTGTTAAACGTTTGCTAGTATGCAGCGCGGCTTGCCTTGCCATTTAACCTGGAAGGCGTGCATTTTGATTACAGATGAAGACAGCTATTCGTGTAAATACTGTCGCTTTAGTTGCAAGCTAATGTTCAATGCAGTCATATGCGACTTGGCGAGTACTATAATGAGCCATTTGAGGAATAAAGTCCCACTGAAAGACGCGTATGTCCATAGTAGTTCTCACACGTTTCATTAAATTAATACTGGTATCTTGCCTAAATGCACATATACGTAGGTGTCAGAGAGTTCTGTCTAGCTTATTTCAGCCTTTTAATGTGAGGAGCGTACATACGTTTGTAATCGCTAGTTTCCCGAAAAATGACTTTCACACGTGAAAAGTATTGTGATTTGGTCAATCGTGAAAGGAATTGGCGCATTTATGGTTGTAAATATTTAAAATATACGCACGACAGTTTGACTCTCATTAGAAAAGCATACATGACTAGAAGCAGACGGCGGCTTTCTCTGTTGACTTGCCTGTAATCACTGTGTTCTGTAAGCAGAATCAGTCAGAAAAGAAAATTCAGTAAACAGAGAATGTTTGTCTATGGTATTGGGGCTTGTACACCATAACAGGGCGATCTTTTCAGCTTGGTCTGACATATGTCGACACAAATGAATATCAGATTTTTATTGCAGTACGTTTTATGAACATGTATATATATACATATATAGTATGCTATTCTTAAAGACGCTTTGTACTCCGTTCAGTCCATTCGTGCAATTTTATCCCAGACCAATTAAGTCTTCTTCTAGCGGAAAGTTGGAAATGGACTTCCACACAGCAATGTGCAGAATTGTTTGCAGTGAAAACACATCGGCGAGAAAAGTTTGTAATTTGAAGAAAAATGAAAAGATCTATTATGTTTTACCGTTTCAACCGACGCAATTCAGCCAGTTTTGATAGATCAGATTTCATGGAACCCCAGAGTTTTTAAAAGAAAATCCGATATGTTTTTTACACTAACCGATCAGTTACATTGGTTTGACTATCGCCCGCCCCTGCAGAGTAAGTCTTCGCGTGAAGCTGCAATGGAGCACAGAGCTTTTACCTGGGTCTGCAAGATCATTGAGAATCAAATGTCCCAATTAATGCCACTTATCTGGCACAATCGTAATTGAAAGACACCTTCAGCGCAATACTCTGTTGAGTTCAAGCATCCCGGGGGTTATTAGGGTGATGAGAGAGACGGGTAGGCACATATAACTGATCCTTGCTGAAAAGAAATAAAAGTCCGTCTCAACCTTTAGATAATGACTAATTTATTTTCATAGATCCACAAAAATCTAATCGCGCAACATGCTTGCAAACCTCATGGATGGATCATTCATTACTCAGCAGACAGCTGAACAACATAATTTAGGATAAATTTGCACAGATATTAAAACAAAGCGTTCAGGGTGGGCGTGAAGGATATTGCAAATTTGCATTACCGGGGGAACGGTAGCAAGAGTAGGGATAACTAATGTTAGCAAAAGCTTTTTGCTATTAATGTGATTTCTCTTCTGGTATGTCTTTGGACCCCATGCAAACCATGTTCTGTAAACGACTATATCTATGATACAATTAGCCTTACTTGATCTTCCTCTCACACTCATTATTCCACTAATTATGAAGATCACTTTGACTGCAGTATGCACGTGTACAGGCGCAGCGAAATGACCGTGCATACATGGTGCAAACCCATGTCTCTCTATTTACAAAATCATATAACGAACCACTTATTGCAATTTCTTAAACCTGAATAAAAAAAATGAGAGTGGACGGGGTTTAGAAGTAAACTGGCCTCATTAGTGTACAATAAACACGATCATGTCTTACCTGGCTTTGCTTCTGTTGAATTAGATTGAGAACGTTGGATGTTCGATTGTAATCTTTCGCGCTACTGTCTGTGAATACATAGATCAAGGAGTTTGGTCGGGAAGCCTCCAGAGCAAGTTCAATCCCGGTGATGGTCATTTCTGGACAATCTCCACCACCTTGGGTGTAGACACTATCCAAATAGTGATAAAATGTCTTGGTTGAGGTCGTCACTCGAGCTGGGCCAACATCTGCAGATCAAAGAACGGATGAGTACAAAAACACAGGGAGTGTATGCGTGATTAGAGACGCATCGGAAATGCTCAACGTCTATTTTTCGAAGCATACAATCATAACTATAGATAACATCGGAATGTCTAACAGACTTGAAGTTTAGTTCATTCTAAGCTCTATCTATTGAGATGGACTCCGCCTAAAACTGAACCAATCACTATGGTCAAATCTACCACGGTGTGTGCAATGAGCAATACGTCAATTCAACGGGATTCAGGTTATAAAACAGTCTTCTTTGGTACAGTACTATTCGGGCAGTAAGCAAGCAGCGGTCTGAGTTAAGAGTGTTGCAAAACAACACAGTGAGATCCACCACCACCACCACCTCCTCGCCATCAATGCTTTTGGCTGCAGGTAGCTACGTCTGATCGTTTTGTGATATTATATAACCACACGATTCTAAAACTCTCGAAAACTATGGGTATCATAAATCCGAACCTAGCCACGCTGATCATGTATAGAATTTCGACGTCAACTGTTTTTTTTTACCATACCGGCTATCCCGACAAATGTGTTAACTGCTTCTTTTTCTCTCATCGTGCTATAGTCGATAGCTCCTGCCGGGTTACTGATGGAGATATGCTGTCAAGATTACATCGTTCTTGCGCAAGTGTGTGTATGCGTGCCTGCACCAATTCGTGGCCGCAGCTCGTTGTGACTGGCCAGCGCAGGTTGGATCATTCAGTCTTTGGGGTCAGTTGCGGGCCCAGATAATACTAATACCCATGAGGTGGAAAGGAAAACGTCTTGTAAAGGCACTTCATTTATCAAAAGTAGCAATAAATAATCAGTTTCGTCAAATTCGCGGTGTGGACTAAGCCACGGTGAAGCAAGAATGTCGGGTATATGAATGAATTTTTCGGGATGGAAAACTTCAAACCTCACCCGGAGTCAAATTGTCGTGGAAAATTTAACGGGATAAGACAAATCAACCAAAAAGAGAACTTTATCAAGGAATGATTACAAGTTTATGCACGAATCTGAATTCCGAGTAAAATCATTCAACTTCGAAACAAGAATAATTATTTTTTGCGTGAAACAGTTGGGCCTGAAGCTTAACTTTAATCTCATTTCTTTGTGAATATTGCTCACTCACTTTGATCGATTTATTAAATAAAGTGACAGAATATTGACCTGACATGCGCACGTGGAATATAGGACTGAACGGCATTATGCCGTTAAGGTGAAAGAAATTTCGTCGGCTTCCCGTTCTGCGTCTTCTCGTCAACAAACATATGGTTTTCCCAACTTAAAATAGACCGTATTTAGCTGTTGGTACAATTAAGTCGCGTATGCTAATCACTGTAAGATAGATTTGTTTACCAATAAATTCCAATCGATTATGTTGTGACATCAATTGAGGTGGCTCTGGTAACGAGCTTCACTTAAACGTTTAGGAAAACTGAGATTCTTCTCCTTGAACAGGTTTGAATTTATGTTTGATAATACTGCGGAATAACTTGGTAATGCTTGTTGAATCCAATTTTAAGAACTCGCTTTACTCACAGCTGCTACCTCTCCATCCAGTGGTGACACTACACAAATGATTTGAAAGTCTTAGAAATCCGGTAATCATTAGTTAAAAGCTGTGGTAAGGTACTCATTGCTGTGAAATTCTTTTTGACTGTTGTTAGAATATCAATCTAGCTCTATAACACCACATATCGTACCAACAACTTCATTAATCTCTTTGCTAATTTTAATCTAGACTGGACCAATTCTGCGGTCGTTGCAATTGACAGGCCCTTTTCCGTGACATGCAACCGTTCTGCTCGACAATATTGGATGGGAGAGCCTAGATTAGGAAGGTTCATTTCAGATAAAAGGATTCGTAAGTTTTCCAATGGAGTTCCAAAGGCATTGGGTGTTTTACAAACGGGCGACATTAGTTGGCTTTGACTATTTGCATTTTCTTTTTGGAGTATTGGACAATTCATTTTGTTGACTTCCTGTTTGTTTACCAACTTCTACGTGTGTGTGTGCCTGCTTACTAAAATCGTGGAATATTGAGCATACCGCAATCGTCAATTTTTTATACAGCAATCGCTGCAGCTATAACCAATCGGAAAAAACTGAAGGGAATTTATTTTTCAATTGAGGTAATATATAATCTGATTATTGGCCCACGTATCCCAATAGGATAGGAAAATGAACTGTCAACTAAGTTAAGCGAAGCTTTCACCCGGTTTCTTGCTCGAACACATGAATACACAAACTTCATGCCTGCTTCTAACAAATTTGTGCACCCCTTCTGTTTACAAGTGGGCCTAAGGTAGAAAATTGGAACTATGCTTCTTGTTACTTGACATAGAGTGTTCTTAGTGGTATGGGACAAGTACCCCAGGTGGGTAACTCAAAAATATGGACTCCATAAAACGTAACGCTGACCTTTGTGATGTGCTTAATGTGACGTGATCATGTTTAAAAGATACCGCTTAACTCATCTTCGTTGTGTTTAAACAAGCGGAAAAAGGAGTCAAGTGTCTTCTTTCGTTTCGTTACAACTCGATTATCCTCTAGCATTAGGAACTGAATAAAATCAACTAAGAAAGATGCACCCCGGGGACAAAATTCAGCTTTCGATCTGGTATCGTGTGGGCTATATGATCCATTCAAGTTAAACTTTGTTCTCATACTATACGTCAGTCGGTAGATCCAGCATATGTAGCTTTCAGCCTACTGTAAAGCTTCGATAAATTTGATGCTAATTCAAAGAAACCGCTCACTTCATTGTCTTTTACGTTGCTTACTGGGCTTCTTGAAATCTCAAAGGGATAGTTTAGGTTGTGAATACGGAACGAAAAGCTTACACTTTCAATACTCGTGAGTCCGAGATGTTCAACAAAGTTGCGAGAACTGGCATTCATTCGGTATCACTTGATCACTGCCTTCGTTATCCCTGTGAGCACTCTCAATTGCTGGATACAAACGGACAACTGTATGCATGCCAGCATGTTCGCTGTCCCCGTTTTGGATCAGTTGATACCTCATGCCATCGTGCAAATAGTTCAATGTTCTGATCTAGGGTTATTGGATTTATGGAGGCCTCAAATAACTGTCGATCGGCTAGAATAACGAATGTTCTCTGGATCGACTTGGGAGGATCATTAATCATAAGATGGCATCGCACAAATCGTGAACTCCTAACCAGGGCAGCATTGTCTAAATAAATTTTCACCACCTTGTTTTTGACCAATTTTCGATAGCATATGGATATATTTGTACAACTGAAGTTTGTCGAGCACTGCACATAGAGTCCATATAGGTTTGAAATCATCCCTGATGGCTTAAGTTTAGACGGGTACATTGTTTTCTATTCAACATAACACATTACGCTCCAGTTGTATTTTTGAAGATAAGTACTGCCCTTTCTGTGGAACACATGCGGCCCAGTAGTTCCAAGTAATGATCAGACCGGGTGCAATTTGAGCAGTGTGGGTAGCGAGGGAAAAAGTTGACTGGATTTAGTGAATTCTTCAAACCAGAAAGACATTTATATGAACTTTTTATAGTTTGGCGTATGGGAAGGTCGCGCAAGTACGACGAATCGAAGCGTAGGACGTAAAACTAAAATGCAAAAGCGTTATCACAGGACTGCCTTGCTTGTATGCTACTAAATTAATCCTATTTGTCTGGTTCTGTGTGTGCATACTTTATCTTAAGGGGTCGAGAACAGGATAAATTAGAATTTTCTCTCCCTCTCCAGTGCATACCATCTTGAACATAAAGCTTTTTTTCTTCTATTTCCCTTCTCCGATACACCGGAACTATTTAATCGCAATATGCCGCAACCGTTTGTTAGTAAATTATTTGTTTTGAGGGTGATGGTCCTGGTGCTGGTGAAGATGATAATGGTCATCGTAGTGTGAGGTTTGTTCATGCCTGGTTGAATGTGATGTGGTGTTGAAAAGCCACGTCATCTCTGGGCTAACACCTCATTCGATGATGCAGTGACCTAACTGCATCACGATCGATGACGGTGTGCGCGCGAGCTTGTTCATGTTTTTCACAGACCTTCAACGGGGATATGATGAATCACATGTACACGTGTAGGCAGGCACGGGAACAACGTGAACACAGGGTAACCGGGGCAGAACAACCAATCCGATTTGTTTCGAGAATGTAAAAATCTGCGGTTTGAACATGGTCATCAGAAAAGCGTATCACAATTGGTGTCAGCTGTTGTGAATTTATGTG